ATATATATATATATATATATATATATATATATATATATATATATATAGAGAGAGAGAGAGAGAGAGAGAGAGAGAGAGAGAGAGAGAGAGATATTCAAACCAGCACAGCAGGAAATAGAAGGTTTTAGATAAAACTCACCAATTATTTCATCAAAGGTTTCCTGTAAATTTGTGACATCTCTCAGTCTGAAGTAATGCTGGCCTCCGGTTCCTGCTGTGAGAGGCTGCAGGTCGTCATCAAAGATGTCAATTCCAATGGCAAAAACATAAATGTCTGCAACGAAACGGCACATATAGGTGAAAGCTTCTTTGATACTTCTAAATATATTGTGCATCAAAAACATATGTGGCTAAATAATAACATGTCTCAACAATGTCAACAGAAAACTGCTTTGAAATTTAAGTTCACCAAGATATTCATCTCTGGAGCCATCTGTCTGGCCCATGTAGGCCATTCTCTTTATTCTTGCAACAGTGGGTAAAGGGTTACCACCCATGTTATAGGCACCTGAAAGGTAAAAATGTAAAACAAAGTTTTAAGAAAATTCATTTGGTTGTGGAGCTATAATTGTGCCATCGACCATGTCTAAGCATCTCTAAACTCTCTTTTTCTTATGCCACAGTAAATGGAGCTGTATTGAATGTATCGATCTTATGAAGGAAATTAGAGTTGAAAATTACCATCTGTTAACAGGATTATGACATGACGGTGTTCTTTAAAGTTCTCCTGTCCGACTCGCACCTTTATTATAGCCATGCGCTCCTCAACTGTCCTGAAGGCGAGATTTATATTTGTTCCAGTGGTCTCTTGAAGCAACAGACACACACAGTTAATTTTAACTGAAAGATAGTTTTTCCAACCGTCATTGTGAGCAAATGTGTGCTTCACTCACTAGGTAACTTAAAACTTTCCAACTTGCTTATCACAGATGCTGGTGAGTTGTGTTGGGAATCCATAAAGTCCATTATGTTGACAACTTCATGTATTTCAGAGGTGAAAAAAAAGATTTCGTAGTTCGGTGAAACGCTGAAAGAAGACACCTGAGGGCAGACTAGGCCAGTTATTTTGGAGTACATGTGAAAATTGCATCTGACACCTAAAACTGTTGATGAGAACATTCTAATTCCTTATTCATTAGGAAGTTTCTCTAATTGACCAATTATTTGCCAAAATTGGATGTAAGAGTGTACATCATATGGGTACAATGTGATGAAAATACCTCTAAGGTTTCTCGGATTACATGAAAAGCTTCATGCACAATTCAGAATCATTAGCAGACAAACCAGTAAGTCTTAAGGCTTTGTTTTATGGAAATAAATTATTGAAAGTTTGCATAATTTAAATCACATATCTGGGTACCAAGTGTACAAGACCAGTCCAGCTAACAGAAATGTTTTGAACGCATAGAATATTTAGTGCCAGCTCTCCACACATGCAGCCTGAGCTTTTACCTCAGGGGCATACTCACACCTATACCAAATACAACACAATAGATTTTCTTTATCAGATTTTCAGTATTGAAACCAATTTTACTGTCAAAGGGAGCTTTCATCAAGCAGCCAAATTTGGCCATTACAAAACTCTGGCAGACCCTCTACATTATTGGCCATCTTTTAATGTCTCACCTTTTGGATAAATGTTTTGATAGCTTCTATTCCTCCTTTAATGTGGTCTTCATTGATGCCCGGGGAAACATCCAGACCAATGTAGATATTGAGTGTCCCGTTCTTTGCAATCCTGATCGTTTTCCCTTCTTGTTTAACATCTGTGACAAAACAAACCAGCATTAGTGTCCTATTGAGACCCCATTTTATGGTAATTTACATGTATTTTCTCAACAAAAAAAGTGAAGTTAAAAACCAAACCTCTGTCGTTCTAGCTCTATTACCAAGGAAAGAGTATATTTGTGATGTAGGCAGAGCAATTTTGATTAACTTCCTTCACAAATATCACGTAATCATAGTGCCTCATTCTTAATTTTCTTTACTTGTTAATAAAACATAGTTTAACAGTGACAACTCAGAAAATTGATATATATAAGATATATATAACAAGAACCAGATTAGGTCAAATGACTTACCCTCAGGCTGTGGCATTGTGAGGATGTCCTTAATCTTTCGGCCAAAATTCTCTGAAACGTCACGTGCAGTGTCATATGTGTATTTATCTACAAGAAGTGCAAACCACAAAAAACAGAATCCACAATGTCAAAGCAACAATAAAAACGTTTTTAACTTTTCAACAATACAACAATGCCACCTATAATGTTACAAACTACAGTTAACCTGAGTATCCGGCACCATTTTTGCTTTGCTGTACTGAGTCATATAACAAAGACTGGACAAAATGCAATCCTCATGATCAGAACAAAAGAGGGACAGAAGAGCTTGAAGCTTTGAGCCAAGTTTGTCTTCCCAAACTTGATGGCTGGTGTTTTCAATCTGAAGCTTTGCTCACTGCTTTATTTCTTTCTCCTCTTTTTTTACAGGTGTCTCTCCTGCAATAATTTTATTTATAAGAAAGCTGCATGAAAAATGGCTATACCTAAAAGCAGGTAGTGAAAGCACCCTTAGCCACAAAAGAGTTCTGAAAATGTTTATAATACTGAGCAACTAGCCAATGAGCAATCCAATTATCTGGATGTATGAATCAATTTTTCCCTTTGGCTTTCATCCTAAAGGCAGAGGACCAAACAATGGAGATGCACTGGTTTCAGGATATCAGAATCCCAACAAAATTATTGAAAACCCTTTGGAACAGTGGTGCAGAGTGTAAAGATGTTGTGTTGAAATCTGTCTTACAATAACATGCCGGCTCTTTTCCAGTCCAATAGCCGTTCTCCTGGCACACTCTTTCACTGGAACCCACCAAAAATAAGTCCTCATTGCAGGCGTATTTCACTTTGTTGCCAATTTCAAATGTGTTCCCAGTTCGTGAGGCTCCAGGTGGGACTCCAGGATCAGCACAGGCGCTCATGGCTGTGGAATTTTATACAATATGCAAAATAATTTAAAAGTGAAACAAACTGGTAGGAATCAGAATATGAACATAAAGGACATGTGGATTTTTAAATCCAAAATGTATCAAATTTAAAAGATATAACAAAAAAGACAACAATAGACCTACATGAATGATAAAGAAGAGGGAGAAAGGTTAAAAAAAACGACCTTATACATACATTTTATACAAAAACACGACCTAAAAGCTCTCTCTTTACTGACGACTTACAGTCACGGCTGCAGATAGTAGTATCACCACTCCATTTCCCGTTTGGCAAACAGGTACGACTCGACGATCCTCTCATAGTGAATCCAGCACGGCACTCAAAAGTGGTCACATTGGTAACAAAGTATGTGTCCAACTGAGGGGTGATGAATCCATCCTGAAGCACAGTAGGGTCAGGACACTGGACAACTGTGTGACAAAGAAAAGGGTTATTGTGGAGCCCACACAGCTTGAGCAAAGGTGCCAAACATCACTGTTAGGGTTACTCACGTTTGCATTTCTGATGACTTGAAGGCGCAGGTTCCCAGTTTCCACCGGGCTGGCATGAATGTCGAAAATGAGGATATGGATAGTAGCCTTCAGGACAGTGGTAGACAAGCCAGCTGTCTTTGTCCAGATGCTTGGTCAGAGTATAATGACCTCCGTTGATTTTAATATTCTCCTCAGTGCAATCACACCTCACCTCACCTCCTAAACACCAAGGGTCTGATTTTAGAAAGCTCTCAGCAAATTGACAATGGACAAAAAAATTATGATTTTTCATAATTAATAAAAAATAATAAATTAATAAAAACAACCATAACAGGTCCCAAGGTTTTATTTTAAATGCTTTAATGGACATAAGTTTGCAGTTTTTAAGTTTTCCGGTACTTTTTTCAGTCTGTACCTCTGTTTTTCTTTAATTGCCTTGATCAACATTGGACTGGTTGGGTGGAGTGGGGTGGTGATTAGCAGTGTTAATGTGTCTTTACTGTGAAAGGGTTCCTGCCCTGACCTGGTGGAACTTTTTTATTTGGAATTAGAAGAGACTCTCTATGGGCAGTTTAACTTTCTCTCACTGTAAAAAATCCACATGTGTTATGTTAATAAGTGTTTACAAAGTGACTATAAGGTTAGGTGTGACAGTGAATGGCTGAGAACTTTCTGTAATTAAAAAAATGTTCTTCTTCAACTTTGACATGTTGTTAGGTTTGTCTGCATTTCTTTTCTAAATCTGTTTATATGCCGAACTGTCTGTCACTTAAATGTGTGATGTCGTTTTTTTTGGCATACTTATTTTGCAAATAAAAAGACATACTGAGCATTTATAAACATTAGGGAAATGAATTACAAATCATTTGTAAAGGGAAAATACATCACCAGCATAAAGGAGGAGAAGGAGCGCGACAAAATAATTCCAGTTGAAAAGTGCCTCCATGTTGATCCTCAAATATTGAGCCTGTTTTCTGTGGCGCTGTGCCGGGGCTGCATTTATTTTAAAGTGTCTAATAGAATCTAATAGATCATCCTTTCACTTATTAACTTCATGACCAGTGAAGGACGGTCAATATGTTTGTTTTTGAAGAAAAGGTCAAGGACAGACCTGCCCTTTAATGGTTGTGAAATTTGGACAACTCAGGTCAGACCTTGGTATAGATACATTTTAGTGATTCGTTTCACATTCTTATTTTTATACTGAAAATAGGTCCTGAACAATTGATTTCCTTATCATACTTCAGTTTAAGTGCACATTTTTTTGCTGATCTGGTATATAAAGCATGCAGCCATGTTCTTAAGCATGTCTTTGCATTGATTTTTAGTTGTTTTTTTTACGATCCCTTCTCTTAAAGGTTTCAATTTTGTTCAACAAAATGTAAATGTACTTGTATATCACTTTTCCAGCCAAATTGTGCCCCAAGTGCTTTGAGTAGTCAGCTTGACTGGAAAAGTGCTATATATGTGCTACACCTTCCTGACAAATTTCAGGTTAGACCTTACATATGGTTTGACAAACTGATTTAAACTAATGTAGCCACCTTGTCCGTGTCTGCTCCATCAGACACTTTGGAGACGTAATCTGTTTCCTACAGAAACCTTAGCATTTTTAGACACCTATAATTTAGTACCATAGTTCTGGTTTGCCTGCTTTTCAACAAAGGTGCTAAATGAACATCCTTTAGGTATGAGAGTTCCTTTCAACCATGGTAAAAACTAGGTCATTATACCAAACTCACTCACATGTAATATCACACTCATACGTTCACATCATTGTACTCTTGTGCATATACTATAAAACTCTTTCACACGCTAAACTGTTATCCATCAATTATTCTCATATATGAATAAAGTGATGTTTAAAAGATTTGATTATTTTAAACCGAACTCCATTTTTGAGATTGAAAACAAATCATAGCACTGCCACTTAAAACAGTTGGTGTTTTAAAAGATAAATAAGCCAAAATGAACAAGACTTTCATGTTATCACTGAAACTTCTCTTTGAATTCAGATAAGGTTTTCTGTAAGGAAAATCTGAAACATACATGGTAAGCATGAGTTATTTCCAGCTCTAACTGGGTTTCTTCTCTTATTAAACAAAGTCCATTGCACCATCTAGTGCCAACAGGCTGACAAATCCCATGGCCTCTCAAAAAGACATGACCCTTTTATGTCTGACACTTTTTGTATCACAAAAACACAGCAACCAATGAAGAAACTGAATGTGACTGTCTTCTCCTTACCACTTGTTTTCCAGGAGCTTATATTTGTATTTCATCTAAGAAGACTTCTTTTTTACAAAGAAAACATTCAAATAAAGTCATCGAAAAACCAAGACAAAGTGATTATCACTGACATTCTTGTTTTTAGATGATGAAACAGTTTGTATATCTCACATAGGGATAAACTAAACACACTTTAAAAGAAGATATTTAGTTTAGTTTAAAGCAGGACACATTTAAGATGGATTGTAAGTTCACCGTGAAAAGGAGGAACATACTTTTTTAAATTCACAACAACACAACTTATTGTATTGCACTGGTACCGTTCTTGCATGTGTTGAATAGTCATAGTACATGGTAAATATAATGATTTACATAGGATTCTTAGACCAGTGCAGTCCTCAACAGAGCCAGCTCTCCTGATGACCTCATCAAAGTCTTTCCTGTCCCTGGCTGTAAAAACATCCTGCTGTCCAACAATCAATGACATATTACAATAATTAGCCCCCCCCACAATTTCAAAATAAGTCCTTAGCAATATGCCTTCTCTATAGTAAGAAATTCAATTTACTTTAACCCTTTTCTAACATATAGCTTTACTTGTCATGTGGATTTTTTTCTGTCAAAAAGTATCTTGAAATTTACCAGAGAAAGTTATTTATTTATACATTAACAACACCATCTAAAAAATAAACCATAGATTGTGTGAATACTGACCCAAAGCTACAAAGTAGTTGTAGTAACGGTTTAATAAATACCCTCACTGTAAACTCTGGAGGTCTTTGAGTTTGGAGATTCTGGAACATGTGGGCACACTGAGTTGATTCCTTGTTGGGGGGGGGACTTACACAACTGTAAAATCAGAATTCAGTTAAACTCTAACCATGTACCTGTTTACCTTTAGAAAAAATTCAAGAATGTGACCAAAAATTGCCACTTTACTGCGCAACCATCATTTTCTTAAATCATAAAGCGCCAAATAAAGGCAGGACAAAGAATTCTTCATTCATACATAAACATCTATGTAAATAAGAAATATTTGTGGAAAAAAACAAACTACAGTCTACACTAATGATCAAGTTTGCCCCAGTTTTTTTTATTTATTTTTTTCCAGATTTTTTTGACAGTAGCTTGACAGGAAAGGGGGCAGAGACAGAGAGGGGGAGACCTGCGGGAAAGGGCTGGAATCGAACCCAGGCCGCCCGCTGTAGCCATTAGGCTACGCTGCGGCCCAAGTTTGCCACAGTTTTAACAGGTTTATCATTGTAGAAATTTAACAAGTGCATTTTTAACTTCAAGAGTGCTCACAATGTGATCCCAAGAACATTTCTTTCTTTCTTGCATCACCCTCTTGACAGCTCTCTGACAAGCTGTGGTATTAAGTTATTCCCTGTGCTGAAAACACTGAATTTTAGACAATTACAGGATATGAGAAATTTTTCAGAATGTTAAATTTATCCAAAATTAATTTGATAATTAATTTCTTTGCCCCCTTTCGGGTTCTCTCAGTTTCTTAACTTTGAAAAACTAAACAAAATAAAATAATAATAGTATATATATGTTTGTTTGATGTTGTTGGAATTTTTGGTAAATATTAATGGAAACATCTATGGAAATGAAGTTAGTGGAAAAAAAACAAACTTGAAGTGAGTGATAATTATAATTTATTCAGAACTTTCTTGGATAAGTTTTCTTTAATTTTCTTAAAGAAGTATCCTTGAATTGCCTAAACTTCTTGAATAGCATTCCATCGTTCCTCTTCAGATTTTGTCTGCAAGTTCTGTAGCATTAAAAAGCTCAACAAACAAACAAAAAACACATTCCTCTGAAAAGGGTCCGGTATTGTGAATTGATTCAAACCCATTTGAAGGTTTACATGAACACCTGAATTGTACTAAATTAAACCTAAAATAAAGTACATCTGCACTCTCCTGGAAATACTTCATATTAGCATTAGCAGCAGTACTTTTTGAAGGATCATATTTACACATCACACATAGTTGACTAGAGAAAAGAACTAATTAATTGATTTTAAACAAAGAATACGTAAAAGTATGAATCTAATTCAAAAACTTAAGTGGTGCATAGTCATCCTGATCATCTTTGCCAAGGATGGACTTCAGGAAAGGGACCATTCTGAAGAGATTAATGTGGAAATCTCTGGAATCTTCACTGGACTCAACCACACCACCAGCACTGCACAGTTGTTTGGTGCCCCAGCTCACCAGTCCAACCTGTAAGACAAAGAATTTCTTATTTTACACAGTCAATACATGACAATTGGCAGTATTTTCAGTGAAGTAAAATCACTTTGTGACATAAACTCTTTATAACTGTTTACCTGGATTGTGCGAAGCTTATAGTTCTTAAACACAGCTCCTCCAGAGTCACCTGTTCAAACAAATTCACACAGAATAATTAACAGTTTACACCCCCTATCTATTATCCAACTATCCATGTTCT